TACAAAAACTTTTTTTGTCTGGACCCGTTGAGGATTTTGCCAAGCTGATGCTTTGATATCCCTGAATACTTAATATATGTTTCCTGTGAATACTTTCCTGGATAATCCACAATACAGACCTCAGAATCAGGAAATTAATAAGTATGCATCACCATCTTCTCCAGGACTCCATTAAAGATTTGCCAATCGTCCCCAAAATGTCCTTTAAAAAGAAGTCATGCTTTGCATTTAGTTGTCATGAGCTGTCATACCTCCAGCCTTCTTCAGTCTGGACCAGGTCTCCCATCTTCCCTGGATTTTCCTGACCTTTATGCTTTTGCTGATCATGGGCTAGATATTTCTTAGACTGCCCCCAGTGTATACTTGTCTGACTTGCCAGCATTACATTCAGGTTATGCTGCTGTGGCAGGACTGTCACAGAAGTGACGCTAAGCTCTTGTCATTGCATCTTATCAGGCGGTGCGTATCAGTTTGCACCATTACTGGTGATGTTTGCTTTCATCGTTTGATTCAGTGGTGGGGAGGGTTGCAAGTTTTCTCCACTGTAAAGTTATTCTTTCCCCCTTTTGTAGTTAATAAGCATTTGTGGGACAGTACTTTGAAACTAGGTGAACAGTCAGTCCTGGCTCTTATGGAACGTCCCTATTTAACTATTTACTTATTTGTTGGTTTGTTTTTGTTTTTATTTGTATAGATGTGTACCTTCCTATTTTATTCAAAGGGTTATAAGCCACTGTTGTTATTATTTATTTTGATTTTCATATTGTTTCCAACTTGATCAGTATCCTTTTGACATGTCCCCATCATTCTTTGAGCACTTCCTTGAATTTTGGCACGATATGTTCCTGACTCATCTTATACTTTCTCTGCCCTCATCCTGGAATAAGACATTTCTCCAAGGATCCTTGTTTCCTTTTTTAGAGACTGTTACTTAGAAGCCAAAATTTGGGTGTTAGCTATGATCATTGCTTATGAGGTGTTTCTGCTCTTGCTCTGTTTGCTCTGTGTGAACAGAGCTAGAGAATGCATGTGTGATATATTAAAATATATGCACGAATGCACTCAGATGTATTTTATTCCAAACCAACATCACGAGGTTTATTTGAGTTCTCTCCTTTTCTGTTTGTAACTCCCTCTCTGACTCCCTAAACTGAGCCTCCTCACCCACAGTGGGGATTTACCTCTCCCCCTGCTCAGGCTCGGGCATCCCGCATCTGGCTTCCCCTCCATGGGGATGCCTTTCTCATCCTGTTTGGGCTCTGACATCCTGCTCTGGGCCACCGTGGCTTCCTCCGCCATACACACACAAACACACATATACCATAACTTACTCTGCCCCCACATAATAGCTTTAGAACTAAATTTCTCAGGGAGGAAAAAGGAGGAAAGGGAATGGAAAGAGGAACATGAATTGTCCTCATTTATGAAGAAAACTTTTGCCGGGTATAGAATTTCCCTTTCTGCAATTAAAGATGCCATTCCATTGTCTTCCGGCTTTCATTGTTGCAACTGACAAGTCAGTCATCACCCATTGCTGCTCCTTAGAATGTAATGTGTGTTTTATTTTTCCTGCCTGCTTTTCACATTTTTTCATTGTCTTTGATGTTCATGGTTCAGCTATAACGTGCCTGTCTGTAGTTTCCTTTGTGTTGCTCTTCTTGGGATTCACTGAGTTTTGTAAATCTGTGAATTAATGTCTTTATCTGATTTTGAAAGTTTTTTTCTTCCATCTCTTCCAATGTTGCTTGCCTTATTCTCTCTCCATCCTCTCTTTCTGAAAACCTAATTAGATAATGTTAGACCTGTGACTGTGTCCCAGTATGTGTCTTGTACTCTGATCTGTTATTTTAATTATTTTCTCCCTCTGTGCTTCAGTTTGGTACTTTCTATATACCTGTCTTTGAGCTCACTGATACTATCACCTATTGTGTTTAGGTTGCCATTAAATCCACTCAATGAATCCTGAATTTCAGACATTAAATCTTTTTCAGTTCTTGAATATCTATCTAAATTTAATAAAGTCCAGTTCTCTGCAGAAATTCACTATCTTTTCATTTATTTTGTCTTTCCTTTATATATCCTTTTTATATCCTATTTATTAGGATATAAAACAACTTAACTGTTGTTAAGTCCTTGTCTGATAACTCCAATAGCTAAATTATCTGTGCTGTGATGGTGAGTTGAGCACTTCCAACCAAAATTTGGTTCAAATGTCAAGACTGATGATCAAAAGGATATGAAACGAGAATGTGAAAAGATGTATCACATATAAAGATTTCTGGAGAGAGCCTAGGAACTTCCCAAGGAGATCCAAAAATGGCTTAAGAGACCAGGGAAAGGAGATTGGCTTTGGGGTCATTAGAGGATGGGGCTAGGGGTGAGACGTCCCATACATGGACCAAGACTTGCATAATTTGAGCTTTCTGATGAAGCTAATGGAGGCAAACCTGGGCCTTCTTATGAGCTGGACAGATCAAAGACAGAAGGGAAGGAGTGGTGGGGCTTGATAGCTGTCAGCAGTCAAATATCAAAAGGGGAGCCAAACTCTTTATTACAATCTGTGCCATGGATTGAAAGCTTGTGTCCCCTCAAAATTTCCATGCTGAAGCCCTAACCCTCAGTGCATTTGGAGGTGGGACTTTTGGGAGGTAATTACATTGAGATGAGGTTATGAGGGTGGTGCACTCCTTATGGGATTAGTGCCCTCATAAGAAGAGGAAGAGACACAGAGCATCCTCTCTCCACTATGTCAGGACGCAGTAAGAAGGTGGCCATCCGCAAGCCAGGAAGGAAGATCTCACGAGAAACAGAATTTTGACTTTGGACTTCCCAGTCTCCAGAACTGTGAAAAATAAATGTTTGTTGTTTAAGCCACCCAATCTGTGGTATTTTGCTATGGCAGCCTGAGCAGACTAAGTCTGCTTCTATTGTATTTTTTCTCACATCAGTTTCTCATATTTTCCACCTTTTCACATGTCTTGTAATTTTTAAATTGAATCTTAGATATTTTATATAAAAGAATCAGAACTTGAAGTCATTATTCTTCCCCAGAGAGGATCCCCCATCCTCTGTTAGGCAACGAGTGACTGATCACCTCATTCCAATCAGAAATTGAGATGGGCTGGGCTGGACTGGATTCCAGTGTTAGTCAGACCACCTCTGGTTTCAGACATCCCAGGAATGAGACATCATGTGCTTCTTGTAGCTGCCTCCTTCTAGCTGCTTCCTCCTTAGGCATGGTCTCCCTGAGTTTTTGACTCTAAGACTTTGGCCGCTTGGCCTCAATAGTTCTGCTTTTCTGAGATTTTAAGCTTAGCTTTTTCACCCCTCTTCACATGCAAGCAAAATATCTGATAAATGTCTTGAGGGGGATATTTACCATCTGTTTCTTGATGGCCTTATCCTCTAGTTGTATTTTGCCTCCTAAGGACTGAAAAACTGCCTTGACAGAGAAATGTGAAAACATGGTCAAGACAATAACACAACCTGGTAGATGCTTTAGCTAGTTGAATAGCTCCAGTGGACTTTGCAAATATTTTTCTTTCTCAATCATACTAAGGAATTAATGCCTTCTTCTCATAAGGGGCAGAACTGAATTTTTTATTGAAGTATATTCAGGTTACAATGTGTCAATTTCTGGTGTACAGCATAATATTTTGTCATACAGATACATACATACATTCATTTTCATACTCTTTTTCATTATAGGTTACTACAAGATATCAAAAATTGTTCCCTGTGCTACAAAGAAGAAACTTATTGTTTATCTATTTTATTTATGCTAGTAAATATTTGCAAAACTCAAACTCCCAATTTATGCCTTCCCACCTCCATCGCCCCTGGTAACCATAAGTTTATTTACTGTGTCTGTGAGTCTATTTCTGTTTTGTAATAAGTTCATTTGTGTCTTTTTTCTTTTTTTATATTCCACATACAAGTAATATCATATGGTATTTTTCTCTATCTTCCTGGCTTACTTAGAATGACGATCTCCAGGTCTACCCATGTTGCTGCAAATGGCATTATTTTGTTCTTTTTGATGGCTGAGTAGTATTCCACTGTATAATACACCACAGCTTCTTTATCCAGTCATCTGCCGATGGACATTTAGGTTGTTTCCATGTGTTGGCTATTGTAAATAGTGCTGCTATGAACATTGCGGTGCATGCATCTTTTCAAATTAAAGTTCCCTCTGAATATATGCCCAGGAGTGAGATTGCTGGATCATACGGGAAATCTCTTTTCAGTTTTGTGAGTAATCTCCATACCGTCCTCTATATTTGCTGCACCAAACTACATTCCCACCAACAGAGTAGAAAGATTCCCAAGAATTGAATTTTAAGACTCTGATGGCTCAAGCAATGCTTAACTCAACAAAATAATTGTCAATGATGGTGTTTCAGCCATCAGCAATGAGTTGAAGAATAAAAGAAGACATGTGTGGGCATGAGGTCTTGTTGTCATCCTTTAAATCTTTCTTGCCTGGCAACCACTGCCTCCCTCTATTCCTCAGGCTGGCTCAGAATGGGAAGGAACAGTAGAATAACTGAGAGAGGATGATTTTAGAGTCAGGTAGACTTGCTCTTCAAACCCCGTGTTACCTTAAGGAAATTACTTATCTTCTATTAAACTCCAGTTTCTTCCTCTGTAAAATAAGGTAAACAACACCTACCTCCTAGGGTTGTTGTGAGAACTATGTGAGATATAAGTACCCCAAACACAGGAAACAATCTATACATTGTCCTCAGTGGTCTTCGCTTGTCCTCAGTTTACTCTTCTGCAAAATCCAGATGGTGCCAAACTCACAGAGGTGTTTTGATTCTGCAGTTAAGTGAGGCCATGCAGGTGAAGGGATGTGCAAATGTAAAATACTGGCCAAGAAGATTTGGTGCCCATGTGAGAGGGAACTCATGGTGACTAGGGCACCAAGTGACTTATCTCATAGCAAAGTCCAAAGGCTGTTCTGGTTAATTTTTGTTTCTGCAGCCTCTTCACTGTCAGTGCCGTTCTCAATTCTACCCAACTTCAAAGAGCAACCAAGTGACATTTCCAGAGGGAAACCTCCTCGGAGGGCCAAGCCAGTAACTAGTGTGCTGGTACTTCACAGCACGGTGGGCAGTCGTCATCCATCCAATCCCCAGGATACTCCCACCCACTCCCGTTATGTTGCCACTGTGGTGCAGCGCTGGAATCACACAAAACAGCGTTCAAATCAAATCCCACTTCTGCACCTTACTAGCTGCGTAAATTTGCACAAGTCTCTTAAACTTTCTGTCATCACTTTCCCCATCCATAAGCCAGAGATACAATAACATGGGCAGACCTCTGAGCTATTGCAGGTTCAGTTCCAGACCACTGCAAAAAAGCAAATATCACAATAAAGCGAGTTACACAAATTCTTTTGGTTCTCCGTGCATATAAAAGTTTTCCTCACACTACACTGTAGTCTAATAAGTGTGCAACAGCATTATGTCTAAAAAAAAGTACATACCTTAATTTAAAAATACTTTACTGCTAAAAAAAAAAATGCTAACCACCATCTGAGCCTTCAGCGAGTTGCAGTAGTGACACCGAACACTGTTGATCACAGATCACCATAACAAATACAACGATAAAGGAAAAGGTTGAAATATTGCAAGAATTACCCAAACGTGACACAGAGACAGGAAGTCAGCAAATGTTGGGAAAATGGTGTGAAGTCTTACTTATGGGCAGGGTTGCCACAAACTTTCAATTTGTAAAGAGCGCAGTATCTGTACGGGAGGTACAGTAAAGTGAGGCACAATAAAACGGCCTGTACCTACTTTGCAGGACTGTTTTAGGCAATGAATGAAATAACAGGAAGCCTGGTGTACATGGGAGATATCCGTAAATGGTATATTTACGTCCCCCTTACTGGGTTCGCTGACACCTCCTGCACCCACGTGCCTAGCTCTGTGCTGGGTCAGCCTCTGCATCTTCACTGTCCCGCAGCCAGGTCTCTTCCGCGTCCCCTTTACTTCCCCGTCTTCCGGGCAACAGAGGGCGCTGCTTTAAGGGGGCTGGGCCAAGGGCCTATGGGAGCCAATGAGAGCGCGGGAAGGACGCTAAGGAGCCAATGGGTGCGGTGGTGGGGCGGGGCCGGGGCCTCTCTGAAGGCCCAGCGCCTGGGGCTCCCGCCCGCCTGCGCTTTCCCGGGGGGGGGGGGGGGTGAGGGCAGGGTGCAGGCCAGCCCCTGGCTTCCACCTCCTCCTCAGACCGGGAGAGCATGAATAAATTAGCTGTTCTTAGTAGGGCCTGAAAAGGAGCCCTTTCTGTCTAGTAAGAAAGACAAAGGTTTGTCAGTATCTATTTCTCAAACCCAAACAATAGAATTACGCGTGTCGCTGGTTCTGCGTTGGTGGGGCCTGAGCAGGCCCCGGGTGCTGGGTGATCAGAGGGGCCTCCTGGGCAAAAACCAAATGGTTGTTGCTCTGCTGGGCTTTGGCGAGGAGAAACTGCCTGTGAGGTTGGCTTAACCCCTGGGGTGCTGGCAGCAGAAGGCTTCAGCCCTCCCCCAGCTCTGACCTCCCAGCCCTTCGCTGGGCAGCGCCTCTCAATCGGCTGGAAGTGGACGGGGACTTAGGGCTGCAGGTGGCCCCTGCGGACCTCAGCCTTTGCCTGAGCCTTGCCTAGGGCCCAGCAGCTTCAGGGCCGATTGGATCACCTCTGCGTCCTCCTCACCCACCACCCCTGTTTCTGGCCTCCTTTCTGCTCCTCCTTCCCCCTGAGCCATTCGCCTCTTTCCCCACAAGGCCTTCTTTGGCTGCGTCTTCTCTTGTTTACGGCCTCAGCTTCCCTGACCACCCATCTGCAGGAGAGCTCTCCCTCCTCATCCCTCTCCAGCAAAGCATTCTGCCTTTCCTTTCCTATGCTTATCCCAATATGAAATCATTAATTCACCTGTTTGTTTCTGGTCCCCAACTAGAGTGTCAGCTCCATCTGAATCTGTTCACTGCCCACTGCCGGACCCGTTCCCAGGATGCAGAGTAGACACTCCACAAGTTCATGTTGAAGGGGTGAATGAATGAATCCAAAATGTGGTACCTGTGTGCCTTCTGGAACCATTCGTGTTGCTGATTGATGAGTCTGACCAACACCCCTATTCTCCACATTCACCTGAAGGAAAACTTACAACTAGTGGTAGAGCTGTGTGACAGTCCTCTATTAAATACCTGCATGAGTGACACTGTGGTCCAAACACTTATCAAAATAATGAACGTGACCATTATCTATTCAGTACCTGCATGTTCCTATACTAGGCATTTCTCCATCTCAGCTCAGGATATCATAATGAAATGCCACAGACTGGGTGACTTAAATAAGAGACATTTATTTCTCATAGTTCTAGAGGCTGGAAAGTCCAAGATCAAAGTGTCAGCAGACTCAGTTCCTGGTAAGGGTCTACTTTTTGGCTGAAAGATGGCCACCTCCTTGCTGTGTCTTCACATGACAGAGAAAGAGATTTTTGTTGTCTCTCCTTTTCTTATAATGGCGCTAATTCTATTGTAGGGTCCCCACCCTCATAACTGCATCTAAACCTAATTACTTTCCAAAGGCCCCACCTCCTAATACCGTCATATCAGGAGTAAGGGTTTCAACATAAAAATCTGGGGAGTGCAAACACACAGTCCATAGTGTTGCCTGTAATCTCTGCAGAAATGCCACAAAGTAAGTGATTAATTTCCTTTAGAAGGACTCTGAGGTGCAGGGAGGTGGTGTGACTCCTCAAAGTCACACAGCAAAACCAAGGGTCTGTGGCCTCCCCCTGTGGTAAGCTGCCCCCTCAAACCAGTGAGCTAAGCCCTCTTACACAGAGATCACAACAGCAGGCCCGGGTCTGGGCTGCCTCACCAGTTAATCATGGAATCATTTTGTGGCCGGAAAAAAAATTCAGAAAAACGCCATCTTGGATGGGATGGTACTGTTTGCCCTAAGCATCACATTTTGGATTTGAGCATCAGTTCCTTCATCCCACATGAATTTGCTGAGCATCTACTCTGTGTCCTGGGATACACAGTGAGCAGGACAGCACGGTCCCGGGCCTGGGAGAGCTGACACTCTAGTTGGGGAGTAGACAAGGAAAGGGTGAATTCATGATTCCGTATTGGGAAAAGCACAGTGAAGGAAAGGAAGAATGATGTGCTGGAGAGTGATGAGGAGGGAGAGCTCCTGCAGATGCGTGGTCAGGAGGACCCCTCTGAGCAGATGGGAGGACTCTTAGAGGGGCAGAGCCTGAGGAAGGTCAGCACACTTGCTCCTGAGTTACAGAAACACATCTGTGGAGCCAGAGACCCTCTGCTGAGAAAGACAACCAAGTTAGGGCCCACATCCCAAGGCCCAAAAGTCTCCAGTATTTGCTGCTTCTCCGCCCTCAGTGTCTCCCCCAGTGTCCACCTTCCCTCCAGCAGCCCCCACCGCCCCACACCTCCCCTTTGTTTCTTTCTTTATTTTACCACATCTGAGGAGTTTTTTAATGGGAGAAAGGGCCTAGGAATGGGGTTGTTTGAGGACAAGGAAACGAGCCACTTGCTGTGATGAATGTTCTTGAAAAGCAATTTATTTTTTCACGGGTAGCTCGCCGGGCTGGGGAACAAAAGTGCTTTGGCTGCCTCTCAAATATTAACAGAGGCTAACTGTTTCTTCGGCGTTTCTCTTTCCCCGCACACGCTCACTCGCGCCTCTCCCTAGGCATGACAGAAATGACATCAAGTTCAAGGGCTCCCTGGGGTCCTCTCCCAGGATCAAGTGGCAGCTGCTTTCACGGGCCATGGGACCCTCTCCCTCCCTGCCACACTCTCCCTCTCTGCTCATTTGCTTCCAAAAGGCGACTGCGCAGCAAGGACAGAGGAGAGGGGAAAGGAGTGGGTCCCCAGGGAATCAGAGGTCAGGTGGAAACCCTGAAAATACCAACGCTGCCCTGCCCGCAAGTTTAGCAAGAAAGGAAATAGCCCTGCCCCTGGGCCCCTGGACTCCAACCACATCCCCCACCAAAGGCAGCGCGCTCACATGGGGAGGCAGCCTTTCCCTGGGTTCTCCGCTCACCCTAGCAAAATCGCTGCCCGCTAAGGATGGACCCCCAGGCATTGGAGTGCGTCTACAAGGAAGGCCTCTCAGGCCACGGCTCCTCCTCCCAACTCTCCGGGACCCGGCTTTTGCCAAATGATGATTGTGTCTGGCTGTCTGAGGGAGGCTTTGAAATCCCTGGGAAGTATGGCAGCGAAAGCAAAACTGTTCCCCCCCGGCACTGAGGCAAAAAGACAGTGTCTGAAACTTACTGTGATGAGAGCCTGAGTTTTCGCAGTCCCTCCAGGAAGCCAGAAGCCTCCCGCCAGCCTGCATCCTGCAAGCAAGGCCAGACCAAAGCCCGCCTCTCGCTCCTGCTCCCCTCTGAGCTGACTCCAGCTTTTACACTTGCAGGAGGGACGGTTGTCAGAAGCAAGAGCTGAGCGGAGGGGAATCCTCAGCCTGGACAGAGAGCAGACCTCCCTGTCTAATCATGTTAGAGGTGTGTCTGGAAGTGTGACCTAGCTTCCCCAGCAGAGCGATGGAGTTGGGATTTGGGTTTGTTCCCTTGAAGGAGGAGTGACATGTCTCATCTCAGCGATTAGGGTCTAGAAGCCTTTATCTGCTACAAAAAGAACTTGAGACAAGAAGCAAGGAGTGGGCCTCCTTTTGTCTGCTCTGCCAGTCCCAACTCTGGAGTTTGGACAGATCTCTGGACTGAGGCCCCCAAATCCAGCTTCTGACAGGGCTACAGAGACAGGGCATGGAAGGGTCAGCCTGTGCTCTCCTGCTTTCTTCTGGGTCTGTGGTAGGCAGACTCCAAAGAGGGCCTCCAATGAGCTTAGCCTCCTGGATTCACCTCCTTTCAGTGTCCCCTCCCCTTCAACGTGGCTTTTTCCCTTGTGGATAGCTTTTGACTAGTAGAAGTTGATGGCAGTGACAACTGTATTTCTGAGGCTGTGTTATAAAAAGCTTGGCAACTTTTGCCCAGATCTCTTGGGTGATGCATCTGGAGGTAGCCAGGCTCCGTGTAAGAAGCCTGACTACCCTGAGACAGCCAGGCTTGGAGGAGGAGGTCTACATAGAAAGGCCATAGAGAGCTTCCTGGCTGGTCCCTAGCTCTCCCACCCACCCCAGCTGGACTCATTCTAAGTGAAGTAAGCCAGAAAGGGAAAGAAAAATACCATATGATACCACTTATACCAGTAGGACAGCCACACAGGAGGACCTGTTGAGCCTCAGGACTCCAGCTCTGGCCACCATCAAATCACAACCACAAAGGGAGAGACCCCAGGTGAAAACCGCCCAGCTGAGCCCAGTTATCTCATGAGAACAAATAATAACTTGCTATCGTAAGCCGCTAAGTTTTGGAGTGTTTTGTAATGCAGCACAGAAACCAGGCATCCTGGCGTGGAGAAGCAAGAACTTTGCAAGGAACTTCCTGGCCCAGCTGGCCAATGGTTTCAAGCAGTAGGATCGTTTGTTTGTTTTGTTGAAGTAGAGTCAGTTTAGAGCATTGTGTCAATTTCTGGTGTACAGCATAATAATTCAGTCATACACATATATACATATATTCATTTTCATAGTCTTTTTCACTATAGGTTACTACAGGACATTGAAAATAGTTCCCTGTGCTACACAGAAGAAACCTGATGCATATCTATTTTATATTTAGTAGTTAGTATCTGCAAATCTCAAACTCCCAATTTAACCCTTCCCACGCTACTTCCCATCCCCACTTCCCCTCTGATAACCATAAGTTCATCTGTGAATCTGTTTCTGTTTTGTAAATAAGTTCATTTGTGTCTTTTTTTTTTTAGATTCCACATATCAGTGATATCATATGGTATTTTTCTTTCCCTTTCTGGCTTACTTCACTTAGAATGAGGATCTCCAGTTCTATCCATGTTGCTTTAAATGGCGTTATTTTATTCTTTTTGATGGCTGAATAGTATTCCATTGTATCAATATACCACAACTTCTTTATCCAGTCATCTGTTGATGGACATTTAGGTTGTTTCCATGTCTTGGCTGTTGTAAATAGTTCAAGCAATGGTTTTGAACTCACTCAGTTAAGGAATCTTCTGTCCACTGGAAATCATTATTAGGACTCTAATATGTAAAAGAGATAAAAGCACAGTAGGTCTTTTTTTTAAAAGGTGGGAGGAGCAATCTTTCCATTCCCCATGTGCCCCTGCAGCAGCCCCCTGGGAAATGAGTGAGCTCTCCACCTGACCTCCCAACACTCTCCCTCTTGCTCTCTTTTCTTTTTTTTTCCCAACAAAACACCTCACAACAGGCTTTCTTCATTCACACTCCCCTGGTCTGGAGGGTATCCTGACCACAGCCTGGAGGTGTGCCCCGGTGTCGCTGATGGGGCCTCCTGTACATCTGAAAGCTACCCACTCTGAGGATCTTCCTTTTTTCAGCCCCCATGTCCTATGGCAATGCCCTGCCTTCCTTCACCAAGGGACACCAGCCATCAGAGTCTAACCACCCCTCCTGAGATGCTAGGACACCTTTCCTGCCCAGAGACACGGTTATCAAGAGACATTTTTCTCAGCCTCTGCTTCCAGCCAACATTTTAGGTAGAGATGAGGCTAATAAATATAATCCTCATTGTGCTAATGGAGAAGCTGAGACCCAGAGGAGTATAAGCTCTCAGAAAAGCACGGGTGGAGATGTCTCCAGCCTCAGCATGAGCTGCTCTCTGGCCCTTGCCTGCATGAAGGCAGTGGCCATGGGCCTGAACGCTGGGTACCCCTTGCTCTTCCAAAGCCCAGCCACGCTGAACCCCAACTCTTCCCCCCAACCTCACTGGGTAGAGTGACCCAGCACGGCACCTTCCCCTCAACCCTGGGTTATCTTAGTTGATCCTGGAAGACACTGAGTTCCTTCACGAGTAGCGATTGCCCAACGGCCACGGCCCTCCCCACAGAGACGGTATGTACTGCATAGATCTTGTTTCCTTTTCATCCTTATCGCCAAATCCCCCCCCCAACTCTGTTTTGCTCATCATGCTGACTTCTCCTCAGGGAGAGCAAGGACTTGCATAACAAGCACTTGATTCGCCTCCAAAGCCAAGGTTTGTTCCAATGGGTTTGACTTTCAACCTCCCCACGTCTCCTTGAAAAGATGAACCGTCCTTTTGTACCACAGGACATGCCAGGAATAGCTCACACCGAGTGCTTTCGGGAGGGGGCGGGGCTCGTGAGGAAGAGGCCGCAGATCAGCCAGACATCTAAGAGGTACCATTAAGATGATGGACGTCTTTTTCCATGGTGCCTTGGGCAAGCCGTTGAGCCTTATTGCTCATCTCTTCTGCAGGGAGGTCACAGTGTGAGAGTGTCCTGTGCTCCTCTGGCCAGGACACATGCTCTGGGGACCACACTCGCATCCTTGGGAAGAGAGGATGCAGGAGCCAGGCCTCAGAATGCTTTGTCTCTGGGAGCCCTGACAGCTCAGAGCATCCCTGCCTGGAAGCAAGGCTCAGGCAGAACAGAAAGGCTCCCTTCCATGCCTCTGTGGCCACGTCACAGCCACCATCTCTTGCTCACCGCCATTACCTCTCCCCCAAAGTGGCAGATTCCCCAGACAGTCTGCAACTTCCCATCAGGGGAAGAATCCCAGAGGCAAAACTAGATTTCTGACCAATTTAGAAATGTCTGAACACACCACACAGACAACAATAGTGATAGCCATTGATGACCCAGCTGTTAGGATGACCAGGGACTGTCCCAGGCGCTGGACACCCACCTTCAAAGCAGGTTTGGTCATCTCACTCGTCCAGAGTCTTGGAGAAGTTCAGAAACTTGCTACTTGTTATGTCAATGACAGAGCCGGGATTCAAACCTGTCTGGTTCTAAAGCCCACCGCAATTCCAAGGGGCAGCATTTGCTAAGACAGACATGAGTCTGGATTCAAGACCTGAGAGGAACTGGATCAACCTGAGTCAAATCATGGGCATTGGCCGCCTTTCTGCCTCCCAGCCAGCATTCCCTGGCTGGTCTCCAATTTGGGGGCAAGGTCTGAGCAGACATGGAGGATGTGGAACTTGGGCGGGTCCCTGGGTAGCATCTGGTGCCCCTTCAACGACCTATGGAGGAAGGGAATTAGGAGCTGAGGACCTAGTATGTGACAAGGCCATCCCCACAGGACCTTGGTGATCCCTAGAGAAAGCCCATGAGATGAGTATTGCTGCACCCATTTCACAGATGGGGAAATGAAGGCTCACTAGGTTCACGGGACCCAAAAGACGTGAGATTCCATGCGAGTCCTGTTGACTCCCAGGACTGTGCTTTCCCACCACTGCCCCAAGCTGCCTCCGCATGGAAAGAGCCTGACTCCGACCCCTGAGGGACCCAACTCCCTGTTAATCACTGCTGGGTACTACTCTAAGGGCACTAAGCGAACAAGACCATGTGACATATGCCTCATCCCTGAATCACCTTTAGGCTGGTATGGGATCGCATGTGTGTGATTATTATTAAAAAGAAGAGTTTTTCATTCTCTCATGATCCAGAAATGGGTTCCATTTCTGTGCTTAAAAAGTTCTTTTTCCCTCCTTTGGTATGTTAAACCTTCTCCCCTGAAATATTATAATTATCTTTGTTTACACTATCGACAAGCTTTTTAAGGTCTTTCTGTGTAAATACAGCAAAGATAAATTTCAGGCGAACTCCCATCTGAATCATTCCAAGCCTGGAATGCTGAAGGGTCCGTGTTGATGAGCTTTGGCTGGACCTCGAGTCTTGAGAGGAGGAATACATTACCCCTGACCTTTCCAAGAAGAACTGGTTGGCTGAGCTCTGTCCACTGGGAAACAGTCTGATGGGATAAGCCTTTCCCCATGACCTGAGGCTCACTCCCAGAGCCTGGAGACGGGCTCGCACTTTGAGAAGGGCAGGCACCAGGAAAGGTTCATTCCTGGGTCTGTGCTGGATGTCTTCAGTTTGCAGCCCAGGGCCACCTTTCATCCATCCTGCTCTCTGCCCCAGGACATGGACCCGTCTGGGCTCCCTCGCTCTCTGCCTTCCTGTTGGATTTCGACGTGGGAAGCCCAGCAGGAGACGGGAAGGAGGAGACTGAGACTGGGGTACTTATGTCTCTGAGGCTCCCTCCCAGCAGGTTCCCCCGGCTGACAGTCCTCTCCACAAAGGTGTCACTGACCCCCTCCCCTTCCCCCAGCGTCTGGGGTGGAACCAGCCTCAGATTGCCGCACTGGTCCTTGCAGGGTCTCAGTTCCTCTCACCTCCTCTGCCACCCCTTCCCTGACCCAGGCCAGTCTTTGCCCGGGAGCCCTGACACTAGTAACAAGAGCTTCGATTTGCAGAGTCCTGTCTGGTCAGTCATTTTATCTACATGATCGTGCGTAATTCTTACAGCAACCCTTGGAGGAAGGTATCCCCACATTTCAGACGATGAAAGCAAAGTGACAGATGCTAAGTAGCTTCTTAAATGTGCTTGCTGAGGGGAGAGTACACCTCAGTGGCAGAATGCATGCCTAGCGTGCAAGAGGTCCTGGGTTCAATCCCCAGTATCTCCATTTGAAATAAACAAAAAATAAATAAACTTAATTATCTCCTCACTCCAAAAAAAAAAAAGTGCTTGCTGGTAAACGGGGACAGGTGTGCAGGAAGAGATAGAGGGTACATTTATTAGGACTCTTACATTTTATGATCACTGAGTTATTTGGAATAATTTCTGCTCTCTAATTTTGTGCTTTCTTTGTATTTTCTTTCCCTTTGCTTGTTTTTTTCTCTCTCTTTCCCTGTCTTCATTGTATTGATGGAG